TACCTTATTCATTTAATAGGGTATGCATTTAACTAATTCAAAAGAAAAAGAAAGAAAGTGCATGAAATTTAATAAATGATAATTGTAAATGATAATGAAAGTAGTAGATGAAGAGGCAAATAAAAGAAAATTGTAAAAGATAAAAATAATTGATGAATGAATGTGGTAGATGAAGAACCAAAGTTAGTTTAATAGGAAAGATTAAAAGTCTAAATCTATCTAAATCTATCTACATCTATCTAATCTAAATCTTAAAAAAATACAAAATGCTGCCCTATGCATTTAATAGGGTACGCATTTAACTAATTCAAAAAAAAAAAGGCATGAAATTTCAAAAAAGAATATTATAAATGACAATGAAAGTAGTAGATGAAGAGGCAAAATTAGTTTAACATGAAAGACTAAAGGTCTAAATTTATCTATATCTATATATTATATAAAATGCTACCCTATGCATTTAATAGCGTATGAATTTAACTAATTCAAAAAAAAAGAGTAAATTGTAAATGATAGTGGTAGATGAAAAGGCAAATGAATAAAAACTATAAATGATAAAAATAATTGATGAATGAATGCGGTAGATGAAGAGGCAAAGTTAGCTTCACATGAAAGCCTAAAAGTCCAAATCTATCTATATCTATATATTATATAAAATGCTACACCATGCATTTAATAAGGTATGCATTTGACTAATTTAAAAAAAGAAAGTGATAGATGAAGAGACAGATGAATGAAAATTGTAAACGATAAAAATAATTGATGATTGATTGTGGTAGATGAAGAGGCAAAGTTAGTTTAATAGGAAAGACTAAAGGTCTAAATCTATCTACATCTATCTATATATTATATAAAAAGCTACCCTATGCATGTAATAGGCTATGCAATTAACTACCTCAAAAAAAAAAAAAGTGCATGAAATTTAAAAAAGGAAAATTGTAAATGATAATCAAAGTGGTAGATGAAGAGGAAAAAGAGTGAAAATTGTAAATGATAAAAATAATTGATGAATGGATGTAGTAGATAAAAAGGCAAAGTTAGCTTATCATGAAAGACTAAAGGTCTAAATCTATCAACAATATCTATATCTATCTATATATATAAAATGCTATCCTATGCATTAAATATGGTATGCATTTAAATATTTAAAAATTGCATAATAAATTTCTTGAAAAAAAATATATATATAGGATGAAATTTACATTAATAAATAATTGGAAGAGTTCCATTTTATCTTATAATACATGGATTAGACATTAAATATTATCAGTTTTTAAAATTTAAAAGACAGATGTACATTTTATTATAAAAATAAAAGATTGCATTAATTAAATATTAAATAATCTTTCTCTATGCACTTCCATTTTTCTGCCCACCTATATATAAACTTTCACTTTTCTCTATACCAATATATCATATTCTCCTCTTCATCTCTTAATTTCTTTTTGTTAACATGGTGAGTTCTAAATATTATTTACCTTTTTGTTTCC